TATATGCAGAATACATCATGCGGAAGGCTGGACTGGAGGAATCCCAAGCGGGAATCAAGATTGCCGGAAGAAATATCAACAACTTCCGATATGCAGATGATACCACTCTGATGGCAGAAAGTGAGGAGGAATTAAGGAACCTTGTAATGAGGGTGAAAGAGGAGAGTGCAAAAAACGGCCTGAAACTCAACATCAAAAAAACTAAGATAATGGCCACTGGTCCCATCACCCCCTGGCAAATAGAAGGGGAAGATATGGAGGCAGTGACAGATTTTACTTTCTTGGGCTCCATGATCACTGTAGATGGAGACAACAGCCACGAAATTAAAAGACGGCTGCTTCTGGGGAGGAAAGCGATGACAAACCTTGATAGCATCTTAAAAAGCAGAGATATCACCTTGCGAACAAAAGTCCGAATAGTCAAAGCTATGTTTTTTCCTGTCATGATGTATGGATGTGAGAGCTGGACCATAAAGAAAGCAGATAACCGAAGAATTTATGCCTTTGAATTGTGGTACTGGAGGAGGCTCTTTAGGGTCCCCTGGACTGCAAGAAGAACAAACCTATCAATTCTAAAGGAAATCAAGCCTGAGTGCTCACTGGAAGGACCTATCCTGAAGGTGAGACTCCAGTACTTTGGCCATCTCATGAGAAGAGAAGACTACTTGGAAAAGAGCTTGATGTTGGGAGAGTGTGACAGCAAGAGGAGAAGGGGACGACAGAGGGCGAGATGGTTGGACAGTGTCTGCGAAGCAACCAACATGAAATTGACACAACTCCGGGAGGCAGTGGAAGATAGGAGGGCCTGGCGTGCTCTGGTCCATGGGGTCACGAAGAGTCAGACACAACGTAACGACTAAACGACGATGAGAGGACTGGAGAGGCGGAGTCAGCAGCTACATGAGGCTTGACGGGAGAAGGAGGAGTCAGATAGAGATTGGGATGAGATCCAGAGAGAGATAAAGGCTTGTTAGAGAGAGAGGGAACAGATACTGACTGGTAAGGCTGGTTAATAAATAGGTAGAGAAGGTGGTAATGATATTGCAAGAGAAAAGTATGTACTGAGAGAACTGTTAATGATTTGTTTGTGTACAATGTTTATCTGAAGAACTGTTATTATTAAATCTGCTTCACTTCAATAAATAAGTTCTGGTTGTATTTACAAGACAAGTGTTCTGACACATGGCATTTATATTGTGGATTGAGGTAATCCACTGGTGGCAGCGAGAGGAAAACGCAACATGAGCCTTTGTGGGGGCAAAACACGCAGGTGTCACAAGGGTGAATGCCACAATTGGTGTCCAGCAGTGGGATACGAAACAATCCAGCAAAGCCAGAGTGTAAAAGTGAGTTTTTTTGAATTATGAGTATTTATTTTTATTTTATTTATTTTATTTATATCCCGCCTATCTAGTCAATAGACCACTCTAGGCGGCTCACAACAGAGTACCTTTTTAGTCAGAGGTCTGTGGTGAAGAAGTAGGTGACCTGCTAGGGTTTTTGTGGAAAAGCTTAGTGGCAGGGCTTCTGATCCCAGATCTGGGGTGACTAAAGATAGGGAATGACTCTAAGGGAAAATTCCTGTTTATTTATCTCAGGATTTGAGAGACCCAGTGGCTAGCTTAAAATCCAAGTCTCAGAGAAGGGAGTGCTGGCAGATCAAAAGTGGAAGCCAGGGTCAGAGCAGATCTGAGGTGATAGGAAAATAAAAAGCAGAGGCTTGAAAATAGAATTTGCTTTGTGTCTGGAGGCAAGAAGGTTGTCTCAGACCAAGAAATATCATGGCTGGTGTGAGGCCAAATGAAGTGTAACAATCTTTAGCTGCCGAGTGAGAACTACATAGTACCCCAGAAAAATACTGGGAAAAGAAAACAGCAGTAAAAAGTGTTTTAAAAAGAGGCCTGACTTAATTCTTAATTCTGCTTGGCGCAACCTGTGCCCAGACTGTGTGGCAGCAAGTGACTGTGATGCTTCTGTGCCTGCAGCAGAGTCAACAGTGATGAGGACACTGTTGCCTTGGGGAGGACCATGGGCCTCGAGGTCACAGAGGAGGACATCTGTGAACTGGTGGTGGGCCACCCAGGAGCTGGTCAAACTGCAGGCAGAGGCTACGGAGCAGCAGGCCTCTTTGGAAGAGGAAGAAGAGTCAGGCGAGAAACAGCTGTCCACCACTAAACTGAAGGAGCTCTTAGAACAGTGGCAAAACGTGCAGATTCAAGCAAAGTAGTACCACATGGACAAGGTTCTGGCACATGACCTTTCAAACACATACAATGAAAGGATCATGTCCCCTTTCGGAGGGATGCTGAAAGGGCAGCAGAAGCAGCTGACCATGGAGAGGTTCCTCACGAAGAGACCAAGACAGGAAGAGGAACCTGCTACTTCTACCAGCGGTGCGCAGTTGCTTTCTTTCTCCTCGCCCTCCTAGAAGCCTTGAGGTCAAGCCTTAAAGACTTCTCCCAGTTGACCATCCTTCGGGCCATTGCCAGAGAGACCCTCTGCAGCTCTGGGAATGTAAAAGATTGCTGCTGTGATGTGGAGACAGTTCTGTCTGCCTCCAGTTTCCTGACTTAAAACATTGGTCCTGGTGGTTTAGAGACTTCAGCTTCACTTGTTCACTTTAAAATGTGAAATGTAAAAAGTTTCTGTACTGTTGGTTTCTATATGTTTACATGCCTTGAAAATGCACTTTCTGAAGGGTTTTGCACAATCCAAGGACTGTTAGTGACTGTTTCTGTTCAGTTTCAGTGAAGGCAGATGTTCCTGCTTCATGTTTGCTGATTTTTAAATGTTTTTCTATGATGTTTAAAAAGTTAAAGTTTTTTTATTGAAATTAGGAAATCATCTGCACAATATGTGTGGCTCTAAAGAGCACTTAACAAACACTTTGTAAACCAAATTTGACTTTGTTCTGACTTTTTTTGCCCATAGGAACGCATTAATTAGATTTCAACGCATTCCTATGAGAAAACGCATTTCGCAAGACGAATTTTTCGCTAGACATTAACCACGGAATGAATTAAATTCGTCTTGCGAGGCACCACTGTATTAATTAATCCTGCTCCTCATATAAAGAATAATATTTAATTAAAATGCTGGCTAAACAGAAAAGTCTTTACCTGGCACCATAAAGCCAAAAGTGTTGGAGCCAGGTGGATCTTTATAGGGAGGGTGTTCCAAAGTTAGGGGACAACAGCCAAGAAGGCCCTATTTCAGCATGCCATCCCCCTCACCTCTTTCAAGGATGGCACCTTCGGAAGAACTTCCTGGCCTGATCTTAGAGTACAGGGAGGCTCGTATGGAAGAAGGTGGTCTTTAGGTAACCAGATCCTAAGCCATTTAGGGCTTTATATGTCAAAGTAAGCACTTTGAATTTGGACCGAGCAACCGGCAGCCAGTTTAAATTTTTCAGAACCGGCGTGATATGAGTCTGCGCAGCAGGACCACTTACCAGCCGTGCAGCCTGGTTCTGTGCCAGTTGCAGGACCATCTTCAAAGGCTGCCCCACATATAGCGCATTGCAGTAGTCCAGTCTGGTTATTACCAGTGCATGTGTGACTTTTGCCAGGCTCTGCTCATCCAAGTAAGGGCAAAGGTGATATATTCTCCGCAGCTGTAAGAAGGCACCCCTGGAGGTCAAGGAGTACCTCCAAGCTGCAGACCCTCTATAACCCCATCTGAGGCATGGAAATGGCAGAGCACCGACCAACAGCACTTCTGACTTGTCTGGATTGAGCCTCAGTTTATTGACCCTCATCCAGTCCATTATCGAGTCCAGGCATGAGTTCAGAACAGCGATTGCCACACCTGGATTGGTAGAGAATGAGAGGCAGAGCTGGGTGTCATCAGCATATTGCTGACTCCTCAGCCCAAACCTCCTAACAACCTCCCCCAGTGGTTCTATGTAGATGTAAAACAGCATGGGGTACAATATCGAGCCCTGAGGAACCCCACGACGCAACCGCCATGGATCAGAGCTACTGCCCCCCAGCACCACCTTCTGGACTCGATCAGCCAGGTAGGAGCAAAACCATCGTAAAACGGTGCCTCCCATTCCCATCCCAGCCAATCTGTCCAGAAGGACACCAAAGCCACTGAGAGGTCCAGGAGAATCAGCAGGGATGCATTCCCCCTGTTTTTCTGCCGGCAAAGGTTGTCTGTCCCATAACCCAGCCTGAAACCCGATTGAAATGGACCTAGATAATCTGTTTCATCCAGGAGAGCCTGGAGCTGCTCAGCCACCTCCGGGACAGCACATTTACACTGTTATACAACCTGTATACTCACTGCTTTACATTGTAGCCAAGTGTCATTTCTTCAATGTTGTCACATGAAAAGATATACAGTACTAAAATATTTATGAAATGTGAGGGGGTGTACTCACTTCTGTGATATACTCTATAACCATTGTGCACTGGTGGGTTGGTCCCATCATTCAAGTAATGAAAATGATGTGAGACTGATGTCAGTTTCAGACACATTCCCAAAGAGTGACAGATTGTAGGAAAATAGCCTATTCTGAGCTTTTTTAGCCTCGCAAACAGTGTTACCAACTTTTTGTGTTGGCTCTGCTTTCCCTCTTTTAACAGCCTGATGACAGGAACAAATTAAACAGGTGAACGTTCCCCCTCATGTAGTATTAATTATAATTTTTAAAAAGATGGTAACATTCTTGCAAAACTGTTCAGATATTTTCATACCGGCAAACGCAGCAGTAAAGTTTTAATAATGTTTTTTTAATAAAGGAACTGATTACAAGCAAGCAATTACTTGCAACAAGTTATTTTCAAGCCCTGCCCAGATCTAGCACTCTTTCAACCATCTGCCCATCCCTTGGTGTCCCATTCTGCTTTTTCCTGAGCGCCACAGGGCCAACTTCCAAGTTTTCCTTCAGCATCTTCCCCGCTCAGTTTATTTCCTGCCGCCAAGGACACGTTGTTCCTAGAAAATGACACCTTTGCCCTGCCCAGGGCACCTTCGAGAGCGAAAGCTGTTTTTTTCCCCCCGCAAAGATGCAAGACAGAGGCGACGGGCTGCGGGACAGAAAGCGGCCTCAGCCGTCACTGTGACCGCCGTTTGCATGACCTCCGCCTTCCCTTTGTTGCCTCAGGGGAATACATTTTCTCCGCCCTGTTTTGTAGGACGGACACCACCGTCTGTCTGTTGGGAGACGGCTGCCCTTGTCTCTCCCCCTTGCCCTGGAGTGGCAAAGAGTCGCCGTCGGTCTCTCCGCTGCGTCACCATCGCTGGGCTTTTGCCGTCTGGCTGAAGGTGGCTTCTCGCCGCCGCGTGTCTGGGGTTTGGGTCGAGGCCGTATCCATGGCAACCTCAAGGGCGGGGGGGGGCAGAGAGGAAGTGAGCTCAGTCTCTTCTCCCGGCGGTCAGATCGAGAACGGAAACCACGTCCGGCTGAGGTTCGGGTCTAGCAACGGTTGCCGGGAAGCTCGCGGAAGGATCCTTACCACCACCACCACCACCCCACCGCCGGGCCCCCTGACGCCGGGAGCCATGGTCTTCAGGGTCTGGCTGCTCTATCTCTCTCTCTCCTTGCCGCCGGTGAGTGCGGAGGGAGGCTCCGGCCGGCCTTGGGAGCGCAGAGAAGCTGCTCCGACCTCATCAGCCCTTCTGGGCAAGGAACACAACCAGGGGTTGCAGTCTGTCCGGGCCCTCTCGAGCAGGTATTGGAACCTCCTGGCCTGCCAGCTGTGGTCGGAGGCCTGTGAGGGAGAGGAGGAGAAGGAGGACGAGGAGAACGAGGTCGTGGCGGCGGCAGCGGCGGCCATGGCGGTGGAGGAGCGGAAGGAGGAAGCCGGCGGCAGCAGGGTCGTCTTGGAGCAGCCAGGTGAGTGGCTGCCAGGCCGGCTTTCCCGCTTCTGCTCCAGCAGTGCTCGCGCCTTCACGTCCTCGCCTTCCTCCCGGGAGACGGTGGCGCGGCCTTTGGCGAAGTTCGTGGAGGTGGGGGTGGGCGCGCCCCTTTGCGGTTTCCCTCCTCTCTGGGCCACGTCTGAAGGCCGGCAGTCCTGTGTGCGCCTGACTGACAGCGAGCCCCGTGGCATCCCGAGGGGGCTTCTTCTGAGTAAACGGCCAGAGGATTGCAGTGGGTGACGGTGCAGTCCTGTACAAGTTATATTTGGAACCTTATATTATGCCACGACATGAGTGGCTAATTGTTTTGCAGCGACCCAACCATCCCGTTTTATAATTTTGGAACTCAATATGGAGCATAAATTGATTGGGTTTTTTTTCCTTTCAAAATATTGGCCTGAATTCAGTTTTCTATACCATCAGTACAATCTCATATTGCAATAGGAAGTTGTTGCTAGTTAATGTTGCTGCTTGTGTTCCATATGGCTTGAATTGGTCTGTCTCATGGAATACCTGTGGCAACTGGTTAATTAGCTGCAATACACTTCTGTGATTTAGGTTGCTGCACTTAGGCTGTCACAAATTATTAGGATTCTGTCCATTACTGTGCATTCTGCACTGTGACTAGGGTGTACCTCACATGCCACACACATGCAAGAGTGAGAGAAAGTGCACACACGCTGATCATTTTTACAAAAGAGGCCTTTAATTTGAGTAATTATCAGATTGCTACATAATTTGACAGCAAGTGTAAACATAAAGACAGGTAAAATACTTATTATTCTGATTATCTTCCAATACTATTTGTTTGTTTGTTTGCTGCCAGGGGATCCAGTGTGGCTCGCAACAGGTAAAATAAATTTTAAAACTATATAGATATCACATTTAAAAAATAATTCAACATACATTAAGATTTAAACAAGTATAAAAACAATTTTAAAACATTTAAAATATCTAAGTTAAAAACCAGTGTTCCTGCTTAAAGGCCTGCCTGAAGTGCTTAAAGGCCTTTGCCTGAGGATGGCAGGGAAAGAGGGAGGGGGCCAACCTGACTTCCCAGGACAGTTCATTCCAAAGCTTGAGAGCAACCAGTGAGAAGGCCTTTTCTTGTATCCTCACCAAGCATGCTTAGGAAGGTGGTGAATCCAAGAAGACTCATATAGCGTGACATGATATTTCATCACAGGAATCTACAAAAATTACAAAAACTATAATTTCATTTCTACACTGCGAATATTATTTGCCTGCACTGTTAGATTGTTTAACAGTGAATCAGAAAGTAGGTAGCATGGTCTTTTTGAGCAGTAGGAAGAAAGGTAGTTCATTTCTTCTTTACTTAAAACTGGATCAACTTTCTTCTAGGGTGGAGTTTTCCCATCATGAAGGAAATCCTCTCCAGCTGGTATTGTAGTTTTGGCACATGCTGTGCAACAAGAGACTGCAAAGTGACCAATAACATCACAGGTAAAGTCTTGGTTTCCCCAAGCACTAGTACAGTGTGTCCTCTTGCACAGCTATCCTTGGAAAGATTACCCACTGAATACTCTAGCTAGTGTGGCCAGTAGGCTTCCTGGTTGTACTCTTAGAACGTAACTTCCCCATGCTTTACTTAAGGGTTTTTTAAACAACAATGAGCCTTTAGGTCAGTGTTTCCCAATCTGTTTTCTGGCATGTTGCAGGTCTCCTTATTAAATAATTTTTAATAGCCCTTATTAAATAATTTTTTTCCTTGACCTTTCCAAGCGAGATATTAAAGTTAGCATGTATGTGTATAGATGAGAAACGGGCCCTTTGGGGGAAGAAAAAAGCCTCTGCTTTCTGAGAAGGGATGACTGTCCCCATTAAAATGCCTTTTCATGCAAACATGGCACGGGGTACAAGTTACTTGACTATTATAAAAGGGGGTAGTGGCTTTTAAAAAGGTTGGGAACTACTGTGTATTCTCGAAGGCTTTCAAGGCTGGGATCTGATGGTTGTGGGGTTTTTTTTGGCTCTTCAGAGGACTGGAGTAGGAATAGAGCATGGACAGAGTTTCTACTCCAGTCCTCTGAAGATTCCGGCCACAAGAGACTGGTGAAATGCCAGGAAGAACAACCTTCAGAACACGGCCAAAGAGCCCGAAAAACTCACAACAACCATTGGGAACTACTGCTTTAGGTGTTGTAGTTTTCTTTCCTTTCTTTCCTTTTCATTTCCTTTTATCTAAAATAAATTTGTTAGTTTTTAAAGTATCATAGTACTTCTGTGTTTATTGTCTGAAATGTCATGAGACATTGAGCACCTGCATCAAGCACACAAACTGCAGAGCCATAGGGACTACAAACTTTGGGGCCATCCACGTTGAGCATTTCTTCAACTTTCCTCACACTTAATGCAAGGCTGAAACTATCAAACCTGGACAAAAACGCTTGTTTTCCTGACTTTTTTATGTCCCTCAAGAAGTGGTTTAGTTTTGTTCTGCTTTGTTCTGGCCCATGTGGAACCTAATACTGCACTGATGCAAATAATATGCACTTTGTGGGTTCGTATTACAGTGGTGCCCCGCATAACGGGCGCCCCATTTAACCAAGAATCTGCACAGCGATGGCTTTTTGTGATTGCAAAAGCAATCGCGATGTTTCAAATGGCAAAACATCACTTTGTGACGATCAGTAAGCTGTTTCGCTTACCGATTTTCGTATAGCGATGTTTTTTCTAACAGCTGATCGGCGGTTCCAAAATGGCCGCCGGGTAAAAAAATGGCCGCCCGCAGTGTTTTTGCGCTTGCCGGGCAGCGAAAATGGCGGCCGTATGGAGGATTTTTGCATAATGGTGAGTTTTTTTGCCCATAGGAACGCATGGGCTTTTTTGTTCCACATAGCGACGAATCCGTATAGCAACGAATTTTACGGAACGGATTATCGTCGCTATGCGGGGCACCACTGTATTTGATTACATCTCTTTAGAGGTGTGTTTCTATTGATCAGTCTCCACTCCTTCATGACTTATTGCTGTTCCTGTTCAGTTCTCTTGGGATGTCAAATGTTCCTACATTCTCCTTTTTTATTTTTAAAGTGATATCACTTTTGCACCATAGTTCAAAAGTGAAAATTAAAATGCTGAAATTATAAAGCATTGTGGTGAAAACATAATGCTATGAGAACAGCAGGTGGGTAAAAAAGGAGGGAAAGGAGGAGAGAGTGAAGTAAGTGGGGAGAGTTCAGAGAAGATAGGTAAAAGGAGAATGGCATCTGTATTGGGTGTGAAAACTCAGGGAGCAATTCTGGCCTGTTCAGTGGACAGGCATATTGGGATGATCCAGTGTATCCAGCAACAAATAACTTTCCCATGTGTAGTTGCCAGTACTGGGACAATCTATTCAAATCTGCAGCAGAAAAATACTATAATGACCCATAGCAATCCCAGAAATACCGGGAACAATATCACAGTGTGAATGAGCCTTTAAAAAAAAGGAATGCTGATATGCTTTGAAAGCTGGTTTTGGGGACTGACACTACACGTAGTAGCTTTTCCATGCTTTTGCAACATTTTTGCATGCCCACTCAGAGCCTTGAACTCATTGGATGAATTTCCAACAGGGCCGCTCTTCTTCCATATGGGCTTCCTTAGTCCCAAAATGAAATGCAAGGGATTCTTTCCTTTTTTTCCTACTAGGGTTGGATCTGGACTTGAGTAGGCGACTTCATGGACAACACTTGGTAAAACTGGTTGTTGTGAAAGCTATTCAAGTTTTCCTGGAGACATCAGAGCCAAAGAAAGCATTGGTCCTTTCCTTCCATGGCTGGTCTGGCACAGGCAAGAACTTTGTGGCCCGGATAATAGCAGAACATCTTTACCGGGATGGTCTGAAGAGTGAATGTGTCAAAATCTATATCTCTCTATTTCACTTCCCCCACTTCAGATATGTGGACATGTATAAGGTGAGAGAAGAGCTTTGATTTATTTGTACAGTATGTCAGTTACATTGCAAAAGGGTTTCCCTGGTGCAGCTTTATTCTTTTGGTGGTTTTCGATATGAGCACAAACAGAACCACGAACCAGGGAAAAAAAAACACAAACTGGTCTGGTTTGTGGTTCAGTACAGGGATTCCATTTTGCCAAAATGAAATGAAGTGCTGAAGTTTTTCCCCTCAGTGCTTCCTTTTGTTTGGCAAAAGGGGATGCCCAGCCGCCACCCCCTACCACTGCCCCATCAGGTCCCTACCACTGTCTCCTCTGCTGCCATCCCCTGGCACAAACCCCAAAACCAAACTGAACCAGTTCTTTTTTGATGAGGTTCATGATAGTTTGTAGGGATGTGGTGATGCTGCAGGTTAAACTGTGCCTGTGTGCTGCAAGGTTAGAAGACCAGCAGTCATAAGATTAAATCCACGTGACAGAGTGAGCTCCCATTGCTTGTCCCAGCTCCTGCCAACTGGCAGTTCGAAAGCATGTAAAAATGCAAGTAGATAAATAGGTACCACCTTGGTGGGAAGGTAACAGCTTTCCGTGTCTAGTTGCGCTGGCCACGTGACCACAAAAACTGTCTTCGGACAAACGCTGGCTCTGTGGCTTGGAAACGGATGAGCACTGCGCCCTAGAGTCGGACACGACTGGACTAAATGTCAAGGGGAACTTTTAACTTTACTATGATAGTTTGTAGTAGTGGCAAGTTTTCAGTAGATAACATTATTAGTGCAAGTGTGTTCTACCTTGTGATGTAGAAGCACCTTTTCTGCATGAAGCTTCCTCTATAACTTCTAGACATGACTGCCCCATTTTCAAGTGCACATCAGTTGCTGAATTCTCTCACCATTTGAGGCTGGACAAAAACTAGTATCTCTTATATTGCATCACACATCCCTTGCCATTCTCTGTCTTCTTTCTCAGTGAAAGACAGGGTGGGCAGGCTCTTTGGGGAGCAGTGTTAGCCACATGAATCAGACAGTGGGATAATTCTTCAGAGGTAAATGCTGTGGGACAAAGTGCCTGCAGTGGTGTTACAGTCAGTTTCCCAGGTCACTGACTCAGTCTCTCTAGAGCTTCCAGTGCTCTACACTGCTGGGCCAGCAATTGATTTGCCATAGGCAACTCTATCCACAGAAAGTAGACTTCATGTGTCAAAACTGCTTTCCTTCCAACTGAATAACTGTAATGCTTTAAAGATTGCCTTAAAGATAGTTTAAAGAAATTGCTTTAAATATAGTTCAAGAATTTTCTTGGGTACAGTAGGGAGCCACCAGGATGCTTGTGGGAACCAGGAATTCAGATGGCTTTTCATCAATTTTATATAAATTGCATTAGTCATTCGTTAATTTAGTCTATTAATATCCAAGCAAACCTTGCACTTTAAGCTTATCACATAACTATCACACAAACAGATAATTAATATTAAACTCAGATGAAAACAAAGAATTTTTTCTAGTCATTTGGTTTTCAAGACAAGGTGTCAGCAACCACATTGGACCAGGTTACTGAGGGACAACCTCCCCCCCCCCCAAACATCAGCCTGAGGGTCCTTGTTCTATGGCTTAATGACTGTCAGGCTGGCAAATACCAAGAACAGGGTCCTTTTCAGTGGTATTCTCCTGCACCCTTGGGACCCCATCTTTTGGTACATGTTGGCATTTTGCCAATTTTATTGGAGCTATTTCTTAACTTGTTAATTTTGCTTAATTTTTTTAATTGATATTTTTGTGCTGGACAATGGTTTAACTGTTGTTGCTCTTGCTGTTTAATTGAGAACTTAAATTCTGGTTGCAAAATTTGCATTTATTAGTTCTTGCAAGTCACCTCATCAGGTTTATACTCTACACCAACAGTCCCCAACCTTTTTGGGACCAGGGGCCGGTTGGGGGGGCACCCCCACGCTCACGCAGGGGGCTTGCCGCACCCATGGAGGGCATGTTGCACTTGCACAGGGGGCGTGTTGTGCTTGTGGGGGCGTGTCATGATCGTGGAGGGGGTGTGTCACGCTTGCGCAGGGGGCATGTCAAGCTTGCGCAGGGGGTGTGCTGCACTTGTGTAGGGGCCTGTCATGCTCATGGGGGGCATGCTGCGCATGTGCACGAGTGTGACACACCCCTGCACAAGGGCAAGCCCCCCGAGCATGACAGGCGGGGGGGGGGAGATCCGTCTCTGCGGCCCAGTTCCGAGAAGCCCATGGACCAGCACTGGGCCGCGGACTGGGGGTTGGGGACCCCTGCTTTTCACAGAATATAAAATAAATTTGCTACTGGTATTCACATGTTTCCTGTTCCCCACGCAGGTCCAGCTAGCAAAAGAGATCAGTGAGACAGTACAGCTTTGTATGCAGTCATTGTTCATCTTTGATGAGGCAGAGAAGCTTCACACTGGCCTCCTTGATGCATTAAAACCTTACATGGATCACTATGATAACACTGACAGGATGAATTACCGGAGGTCCATCTTCTTATTCCTCAGGTTAGTTTTGGCATGGGTGGAGGGTAGTGAACGGCTGGCTTTTCCCAGATGCTCTTGTAGATATTAAGAGGGTGTGAGATTGAAAAAAAATGCGGCTTTTGTTCTGCACAAAAATATGTGCAGGAAAATCTAGAGCTACAGCCAGACAAGTACATGTGCATCACCGCAGTTTTTAGAAAGAGATATGACTTTCACTACCACTTCAATTAGTGGTGCCCAAGCTAGTCTCTCCTTTGAGCTAGTTTGCAAGCCTGTCCATACAGGAGAAATAAGAAGAATATGGACACCCCATTTTATATGTCAGCATTACTGTCCTTGTAAAGCGAGCAATACAAAGCATACTCCCACAAGGCACAATGCTATAGAGGGAAAAGTCATCCTATGTTAATACCCTGATGGTGTGCAAGTGTGCCATTTAAAGAGGACAGATGTCACCTTCCCACCTGTCCCTTGGCTGTTTCACCAGTCAAAGGCACAAGCTACATGTCGTGTCACTGCCATCAATTGATTACATCGACATTATTATTAATCACAGAGGTCCAGGCAGTGTGTCTCTGGCATTCGCCCAGGTCATGAATATTCATAGGATACAGTCATGCCCCACTTAATGATTGCCCCGCATTACGACAAATCCGCTTTACGACGATGTTTTTGCAATTGCGATTGCAAAACAATGGTCTAAATGGGGGAATTTTGCTTAGCGATGATCAGTTCCCTGCTTTGGGAAACGATTTTCGCTTTACGACGATCAAAAACAGCTGATCGTTGGGTTTTCAAAATGGCCGCTGGGTGCTTAAAATGGCTCCCCGCTGTGCTTAGGGACGGATTCCTCACTATACAAGCACCAAAAATGGCCACCGTATGGAGGATTTTCACTGGACGGTGAGGTTTTAGCCCATTGGAACGCATTGAATGGTTTTCAGTGCGTTTGAATGGGCTTTTTAATTTCGCTTTACGATGTTTTCACTTAACAGTGATATTCCTGGAACGGGTTATCGTCGTTAAGCGAGGCACCACTGTATCTGCATAGATCAATGGGAGTGCTGGCGGGGCAGAGTCAAGAGATGTAAGAGACTCAGCAGGGGGAGGGGGAGTTCAGATAGAGAGATAGGGGGTTAGGAGGCACAAGCTACATGTTGTGTTGCTGTTTATTACATCAACATTGTTTATTATTAATCATAGAGGCAATGTGTCATTTTAAAAAGAACCAAACAGATGTTGTTTATTGATGCAGTGATGAAGGTACTATCAATGAATGTCATTAACTCCTAACAAAACAACCTTCCTTTCTATTTTCTACTGCCTTCCCAAACTCTCTCTCAACTCCAAACTCCCAAATCACCAATCTCTCAATTCTTCCTCTAAACTCCAATCTAATCTCCTCCTCCTCCTGCAGAGAATCTTATATCTCATGACTCCGCCTCTCCAGCACTCTCATTGGTCCATGCAGATGGCACATTAATATTCATAACCTGGTCGGACACCACAATGGAGATAGCATATCTCCCTATTTCACACCACATGTGGCAATCCCCCAAGTATCTCTTCTCTCTTTTTGGCTAACCCAGATTTCTGACTTGCTTGATGTTCTGTGACTTCAGTTTCAGAATTGTCAGTGGACTCTGGCAATTTGTTTCAGAGCCTATTGTTTCATGAAAAAAGTGACACATCACTGTCAAAATAATACTGCTTCAACAGTTTTAATTTTGGATACATCCAAGATAAAGCCTCTGGATGTCATGTAAAACCCTACCTACCGTAAGCAATCAGCTCTCCTAAGAGATGCTTGACCGTTCGGACAGAGAGTAATTAGAAGCCTGTGCTCCCTCATTAGGCTGAGTCGAGTCCTGTTAACTTCAGCCAAGGGCCGCCCCACAACTTCTGCTTACAAGTCTGCCCTAAAAAAGATACTTCAGCAACCTTAGAAAATTCCAAAAAAGAAATACACATGAGCTTTGTAGTCAGTAGACTCACTTTGCTCAATCTGGGTAGGACTCAGTAGCAAAATGTGGCCCTAAAATTCCACCTCAGGGACCAATTGATTTTTATAATTATTATTTTAAGAAAAATATAGAAATTCACAACATAAAGTCAGTTTAATGCATAAGCAAGCATGTTATCATTTTCAAGGCTTGCTACAAAATATAAAAGAAGCAATAATTCTCTTTAAATACAAAAACACTAAAAATCCTAGAAAATCTATAAAAAGCTCTATTAGGGTGGGCAAAAGGCAAAAAGCCCCCCATTCTACCTAGTCCCCTACATCTCCATCAGTCTGTTACCTGCACTGCACAGCAGGCAACAAGACCTAGTCCAAAAAGTCCAAAAAAGAAAAATCCGGAAAGGTCTCTTGTCCATATTAAGAGTTCCTTTTTCAAGCTTCCCTGGAACCCCCCTTCTTCTCCGTCTCTCACACTGTCATCCAATCATGGCATGAAGTCGGGTAAACAGTCCTTCCTTATCGTTTCTCTTCTCTTCTCATGAGAAACAGGTGTTGTTTTCCTCAGCACATCTGCAGCTCCACCAAAACAAATGACCAGTCTTCTTATGTAGGAATGTCCTCCTCAGGCCTACAAGAAAACATTCCTATATCCCTCTAGAAATACACTGTCAGCATGCAGAAATCATTTATACAGAGAACCAATATGGAATCCATTTTACGTTGTTCACTACTACATAGCCCATCTTCAGTACAAGATTTAAACCACATAAACCATTCCATGACACCTACCTCCACTGAATTCTGAGTTGCTCATAATAATCATCCTGAATAAAGCGATTTGGTTTGTTTTTATAGTTGTGTCACTTGTTGGCATTTTGAAATTGGTGGGATTTATGCTAGTTTTCTTCTACTTGCTGATTTTTGTGAGTGGATTGGACTAAGGCAATGAGTCCAGCTTCTTTCACATACATGGCTGGAGGCTTTTAAAAATGGACCAGACCTTGATTAACATCCTCCTCAATGTGTATTGAGCAATCAGGATTAGCCAGGCTCTTTTTGTTGTGAAATAGATAAGTGCCTTACCTACTAGGGATGACAGTGGAACTATAGCACTGTAATGTGTTCTGCCTACATCAGTGGGAGCCAATTGCTTTGGCTGCATTAATGCAAAGTGGTCTTTGATGTGATGCAACATCTGAAGGTGCCAGTGAAGCCTTCTTGTTTCAGTTTGATCATTAGCTCTTTAGATATCTTTATGCAAGCCACTAGCTGCATATCATTGCTGCATATCATTAATGGCATGTATAGTATCACAGAGCTACCTTGCTAAGTTTTGGAGATATGACTGCATGTTATATGTAGTGTTTTCACCACTTGAATTAATTGAAGCAGGCATTTTGTTAATAGAATGTTAATTTCAGCCAAATAGCGGAAGTTTTTTGGTAGCTGATTCTCTTTCTCTTGACTCTGAGACCCATGTCATTTCTTCGCTAGGCTTCTCATGCTCCACAGGGTTGTGCAAGGAATCTGTATGATAGAATAGGGCATGCCGCCTTCTCCAGTAGTGAATTTAGGAAAAGGTAGGGTAGAGATAATTTTAGAAACACATTTATTTAAGCAAACAATTTGGAGGATTTGTTAAAAGGTTTGCATTAGGCCACTTTAAGGAGAGAGTGTGAGCTTAGTCCCCTATCCCCAAGCTTCTCCAAGGAGGTTGCAACAGCACATGGGATCTTTCCACCCTTACTTTCTTGCATAGTGGTAATCTTTGCCCCATAGTACTGTGACTAATTGAGGATAGGTTGCATAATAATTTTTCTGTGCCCAAGGACACCAAAGTCTCTTGTCTAAGCATGGCCATAATTTACTTTCTGCCCATTCAGTAACACTGGTGGCAATATCATCAATGAGGTGGCTTTAGACTTCTGGAGAGCTGGTCGCAACAGAGAAGAAATCACCATGGAATATTTAGAACCATACCTGCGATCAGAGCTGATGGTGGCTGCAGGTGAGAAGTTGCTAGTTCCTAACATATGTCATATTGCACCCCTATGCCTTGGAAACAGAGAGCTATATTTCCAAAAATTTTGTAAAGGCTATTTCTCACGTCAGCAAGAGTTCTCATTTCCCCACACATACTACAGTGTTTATGTTCAATGCACATGTTAAACCACTCTGTTTACACAATACGATGGCTTAAATCAGGGGTTCCCAAACTGTGAGCCATGGCTTCAGGTGGCACCATGAAACCTAGGCAGGGGGTCCACGGGAAAAGGGATGGAACATAAGAGCTGTGAAGGCTGTCAGCAATCCCCCACCTCCAAGGAGATACCGGGGATGCCGGAGAATGGAGAAATTCCAAAGTTTAGTCAGTCCTTTAGGAGCTAAGATGAGCCCAAGACTCTCAGCTAGGCCCTGACTAACACTTCTTCCTCAAATCCACCTCCTTTATTAAGAAAAGCAACACACACAGACAAATCCATGAGTTTAAACTCAGGCTAATCTGGGCTCTATATCAGGTAGCAAATACACATGGCCAAATCAGAAAGACTAGTCTGTTCAAGAAACCAATGCATGCAATACTAAATCATTACTGTTTCATTTAAAAATGGATGGTTCAGAAAAGAATTCAGATTATTGCAAAGTAATTCAGTTAGAAACATATCCAAAAGATATGGAGTGGGTGGTATTACAGTGTGCAATGTTTATATTGAACCCAGAGTCTACCAATAATGCATTTTCAAACATTTTCATAACAAGGCAGACTGATCACCCCTACCACTCCAGCTGGAAAAATAAAATAATTAAAAGCATTCTAAGCTAGAATAATGCATAAGCAGAGTCATTCTCACGTTTCCAGGGATTTCCCAGTTCATAGTCCAACAGGTCAGGTAGATTCCAATTGTCCTCCATCAGTCTATGTTGACAAAAAGGTTCCATACCAAAGATATAATCCATTTTGGGAAAAAGCACATGTCTGACCTTTCTCAGTCCAACTCCATCTTTTTCCAACTCCTTACCATCCTCCTCCTTCTTCCCAGAATTCCTCATAAGGAACACCCCCTCCTGGGTCTTGTTGTCCCACCTAACTTTCTCATGGGAGCTTGAGAGTTGTTATCTTGTTTTGTGGCAGAATTATTTTGACTACGAAAGTCTCTGCTCCCTACTCATCTTAGCAACGAGATAACCAGAGAGCAAAGCTTCTCTGAAACAGCATGAAAAACTTTCCTACTACAGAACAGACTTTAAATCAAGATGGATGCTGTCAAGACAATATTATGACTACAAAACCCATTCTAGCATCTCATAAAAACACAAATCATCACGAAGGCCATGGAGGAACTGTTCATTACTCTATGAACAACTGCCCTATCACTTTCATAGCTCTATGTCTAATGGGAACAGGAAGTGGAGGCTGTGTGCCTGCCTCTCCTTTCCCCAGCTCTGTAATTCCCAGTGGAAGTGCTTGCCAGGTAGCCTTGGGAGTTTCCTGCATCAGGACCTGGAAGGAGGTGGACCCTCAGGAATATTTGGGGATATGGAGATGGGATGGCTTGGGAAGAGGGGTCAAGATCTTTCTCCTGCTGTTCTGATGGCCCTTCTGAGCAAGGGGAGCTGTGGCTAGTGATTAGAAAAAGAAGGGAGCCACGAAATGAAAATGTTTGGGAACCACTGGCTTAAATGTATATGCAAAGAGGACTATTGAGAGCTATTCAGCAGGATGCGAGGACTCTACAGGATTCTCTATCAAGCATACACCATGTGGCTGTATAACATATGTGATTGTCTTTTTCTCTTACTGTGTGAATTTCCAGATAGGTTGCTAGGTAAGACTATTGCAATGAAAACAATGCCAAATCTTGAGATACTTTAAAAACATGACAAACGTATTACTGCGTAAACTGTTATGGGCTGGAGCTTACTTTAGACTGGAGTGGGATTTATATATGTGTTTGTGTGTATGAGAGAGAGGTCAAAGGAAAATTAAAAGGAAAAAAGTAGAAGTGATAATTACATTAACAGTCATGATTCACAAGATAGTTATTCTTTCTGAGCACTGGCATCCTCTCTTGGTACATCAGTCAACACATGTGGTTTAAATATATAACTGTCACTGTACATTTTCCTTGCTTTTTCTTTACCTCGGATGGTACTGCTTGTAAGCACACAACTCTCCTAAGAGAATTCTGCAGCTGGAACAGAGAGGTTCCAGGGGTCCAGTGTACTCCTATAATAACTGTGATGAATCCTTTTCACAGCCAGGCCATCCCACTGATACCCTTTTCCCAAGTCTGTTCCCAATTGGCAAGTAACTGAGAAAACCCAAGATAAAACCAAGAGTCTTAGAGTCTGCCAAGACTAGCAAAACTCAAATAATTAGTGGACTCAAGTAGTATAATTGTGGCCTAAAAAGGAAAAATAATTATGCAGGTTATCTGCTCAAGAGACCAAACATAAGTTTTTAAGAATTATTGTTTTATTAGGAAAATAAAGAATTTAGAGATATTCAGTTTGTTGCAAAGCATAGCATTCAAGTACATTTCCATAAACTAAGGCAGTTAGAACTTTAGCAAATTCCAGCTACCCAAAATAAAATAAGAAAACTCTAATTAATAGCTAAAAGGGTGGGTAAGGCTGAGCCCCCCTTTCTCTATTCCCTGCTATGAACTACATCCTAGCAGTTTACTAAAAAAATAGCAATGGGAACTCCAAAGTCCATTCAAGAAACCAAAATCCAAAGTAAAATCCAAAAATTTCTCTGTCACCATCCTGCCATTTTTCTTCCCATGCTGGAACCACCTTCTTCTTCACGCTCCACTGACGTAAGCCAATTAGGATTGTCTCACCACTCTCCACCTCCTTTTCTCACGGGATGTGCAGGTGTTGACATTCTTCCTGATGTTGTGTCTTGGCTCTTATCGTCTCTGGCCAAGCTTGCTACATGGAAAATTCCAACTAGCTCTAAGAGAAAACAGCTTCTCGAAGCATCTAGTTAAGCTAACACAGACCAAGATGGATTCCTTCTTTACAATTCCATGACTACAAATCCCATTTAGAAATTACATTCTAGCTTCAATAACCTAAACCATGGCACTGTTTACCTCATTCCTGTCACTCCTCTCTCCAAAGATAACACTCCATATATCTAATGAAATGGGTTCTAGTCTACACAGACTTCTGCCGTAATACATTTTGTAACATTTGTAAGGTCCCATGAAGCTCTTTGTTATTCTAACATAGGCAGGTCGAATTTACAGCAAATGTAACTGCATTCGCTGATGTTTATCCTTTATTTCCATTACCTCTCCTTCTATTCACACTATACATCCTCCTGTCATCAACCATTTAGGGTGTGGCTTTATGGGACAGGATGTATTTTCCAGGGGACACCGCATAGGAGGCCATGAGCATTGATGGTGCTATAAAACCAACCCATGGTTCAACTCACCTAGGATTGGAATAGTAATCAGCAGTAGTCACCAAGAAGGTACAGTGGTGCCTCGCATTACGATGTTAATTCATTCCAGTGAAATCGCTGTAGAACGAAAACATCGTAAAGCGAAATTAAAAAGCCCATAGAAATGCATTAAAACCTGTTTAATGCATTCCGATGGGCTTAAAACTCACTGTCCAGCGAAGATCCTACATAGGGCGGCCATTTTCGCTGCCTGTCTTGTAAGGAATCCGTCCATAAACACAGTGGGGAGCCATTTTATTTACCCGGCAGCCATTTTGAAACCACCGATCAGCTGTTGGAAAATCGTCGTTTTTCGAAGAATCGGTTCCCGAAGCAGGGAACCGATCATCACAAAGCGAAATTTCTCCATAGGAAACATTGCAAAAGCGATCACAAAAGTTCATAGTTATGCGATTTCATCATTAAACGAAGCGATTGTAAAGCGATGCACCATTGTACAGTGTTTCTTTTGGAGAGAGATGGCTTCTGTACAATATTCTTTCTTATGCTTTGTTCTAGATGAGGGCCCTGCTCAAAACCACATTCTAGAAGACAACCTCATAGACCTACTGGTGCCTTTCCTGCCCTTGGAGTATCGGCATGTAAAACTTTGTGCTCGGGATGCTTTTCTAGCCCGGGGCCTTCCATTCAATGAAGAGGCATTGGATGAAGTTGCAAGGATGATGGTGTTTGTCCCTAAAGAAGAGAAACTATTCTCTGCCCAAGGCTGCAAGACTGTCTCCCAGCGTATAAACTATTTCCTTCCTTGATGTCAAAGGGCTGCATACCTTTGTGTCCTTTCTTGTGCTATGACTGGATAGTAATTTCTCTACCAGTTGGGGGCTCTTGCATCAGTAGGAAGTGAAAAAATGAAAATCTATGATAATGATAATCTTAGAACTGGAAGGTACCCTATGGATCATTGAGTCCAGCCCCTCTTATGGAGGCACAGTGGAGAGTCCAAATCCCAACCTCTGGCTCCACAACCAGATGTTTGAACTACTATCCCGCAGTATTAGTGTTTACAGAAGAACTTGCTTCAGGAAAAATGAAGGTATTGTGAATAAACATGTTGCTGAAATCTACATTAATGGTGCTACTGAAGAGGCACTTACTATATGCCATGCTAGAAGATTATAAATAGTACCTTTGGGATACTTGTACTTACACGTAGCCCTGAGTGGATGATCTAGGGAAGAAGCACTCCAGCTGCAAAAGAACTGAAATAGTTTGAAAATGTGACTTCCTGCTCTACTCCATGGTATACCTGAATAAGGAACTAAAATGTTTATTTGCAAGATGATGCTCTATTTCCTGTTTCAGAATGCTTATACAGAAATCCGGCTTGGATGAGGAGGTATTGTGCTCCCAATGTGGACAGGTATGGGTTTAGCCTTTTTAAAAAAAATATATTGAAGACTCATCTTTTAAGTGACCTGTGGACACTGCTGATTGTACAGTGTGGAGAATTGTGGAAAACAGCATGGAAGATTGTGGAAAACTATGGCCACTCAGTGTCTTTCAAGTTGTTTCTGTCACAAAGAATGCATACCTGCAATTCTTGATTATAATTGTAGGAAACCTAATTCAGAGAAGTCATGTTGGTGCACTTAGTGTGTGGGTGGAGTTAAATGATAAATGCCAAAATTGCAGGACCCAGTGCAATACACTTCCAGCCTGTCACTGAACTTGAGCGACAGGTCTGCAATAAAAACAAGCACTGTTTGCATGTGCCTCTGTTTAATAGTATTGCAAATCCGTACCTTGGAAAATATAAACTAAAACCTGGCAGTTTGCTGGTACTCTTGGCACACGAAATGCAGATGACCCCAAACTTAGCATTCCTATCTGGATCATTTCTTTTGACACATTTGGCTCAAATGTAGAGATAACATAGCCAGATATTAGTCAGAAGATCTTGCTGTTTGTCCTTCCCTAGATGTGGGTACAGTGTTTGCTTGGAGGCTGCACACTGGCCTGAACTGAGCAGTTATTTTCAGGATGTCAAGTAATGAGCATAGTTCAAGCTCCCACCCTCCCCCATTCCTTCATGAACATATCCAATTAAGTACATTGTAGTAATTATATGAGCAGGGCAACAGTGGTGGTTTTTTTGTTCAAAGCACATACCGAGCAATTGGAAATCATGCAACTCAAATTGAAGAAGAGATTTTAAAAATGTTGTCTTTGGGGGTGATTGAAGAATCATCTTTCCCGTGGGCTTCGACATTGGTTCTGGTCCCTAAAAAGAACGCACTAGGCGAAATTCTCGAAGTGAGATTTTGTGTAGATTACAGAAAGTTAAACAGTGTCACAGTTACAGATCCATACCCATTACCCAGAATGGATGATTTAATTGAACGCCTTTCACAGGCTAAGTTTATCAGCATAATTGATCTCAAAAATGCGTATTGGCAACTCGATTTGGCAGAGGAATCTCGAGATAAGACTGCTTTTATCACTCACGTGGGAACTTTTCATTTCTGAAGGTTACCATTTGGGTTAAAGAATGCAGGTGCTTCTTTCCAAAGAATGATTGACAAACTGTTACAGGGGTTACCGTTTGCTAGTGCTTATCTCGATGATGTAGCAATTTTCAGTTCGGATTTTAACTCTCACATGGCTCACATCGAAACTGTTTTGTCAAGGATCCATCAAGCTGGACTGAGACTTTCGGAGTCACCTGGAGCAACACGGAATGGTGGTCACAAGGTACCTGAAAGAGAGAAAGAATTCAGGACTAAAGGGATGCAGCCTCAGTCGAGCGAGCTGTCCCACAGCTGCAGTAGATGCCATCAGTCCAAGGAATTGCTGGACCTGTAGGGCAAGGAACCAAGCGCCTGAAGAAAAAAGAAGCACAACAGTCAAACATTGCCACAAACTTGTTGTCAGGAGAAAATCTTGCTACAAGAAAGCATCTAAAGGCACATTAATACAATTTACACCATGTGTAAGGTACAAAGCCAGTTTCACTATGTTGACCTATAGTCCTCACGCTAACAAAAGGGACAGTGCCCAGGATGTGTGCTCACCAGCCTGTGGTTTGGACTCCGAGACCAGGAGTCAGTGAACCAACCATGGGTAAACAGTGATTTCCCCAACTGAAAACCTGAGAAAGCGGTCACGGTCCAACCAGATGACCACATGAAAATGAGCATCTTATGATAAACCAACCCCCGGATGTAACTAGTGAATAACAGAGTCCAAGGAAGCCAAACGGGAACTGCATAGAGTCATAAAGAATTCAGGCTCCAAAATCAAGGATGGGCCAGAGGCTTCCATCCTCCTCTCTCCTTTTTTTTTGTGGGGGCTAGGGTGGAGGTGGCCATAATGTGGCCTGTGACAGGGGCATATCAACGACAGTGGCAAAGCTGGTATCTATGATAGAAAGTACTGGTCAACAGCAGAGAAGTAAAGAGACTGCTCAGTTTCACAGTCCTACCTGCAATTCTGCCAGTCAGGGCACTGACTGCCCACATGTCTAGGGGCTGTCATGAATTTGCTTATGAAAGTCAAATAGAGAGTTATTTTATAGGAGCAAAGTTAGTTTAGAAGTCCTTTTGTTTCTGTGTGCAAGTTAGATAGGCCCAAGATGTCCAAGGTCAGTTTCTTTTTCAGTAGAGAACAAAAAAACTATGAAGGACAAGGTGACCTTTATCTAGTCACCAGGCAACTATCTCAACTCAGAAGGAACAAGGACATAACTTCTTGATTTAAGAGAGATGAGAGGAGAGAAGACAGCCTAGAAGATGGACGGAGAGACAGCCTGGACGTCTGCCCAAATACAGCGAGAGAATTCCTGGACAGAGGAATGAACGCCAGAGAAAAAACTCTGAATGAACTTTTATTTTTCATATTAACAGTAAGACAGAACTCTATTCAAAAATGTAGTTAGCTGTTTGTTATTTTGGTTTTTGTAGAGGAAAATGCCTTGTGGTGATGGCTGGGATTTTTGGAAGTGTTTGATTATGTAAAGATGTCTTGTTTGCTTGTTTAAATTCATTTATTACTAATTTCTATTTTTCTAATAAAACATAAAAAGGCTAACTGTCTGAAAATTGGCTTCTTGCATAGACCATTAGCTACTATGGTTCATTGATTTGTTTAATCAGGCCACGTTTATTAATTGCTACCAATTTAGGGTCCTACCTTTAAGAGAGCACTAGGAAGATTAAATCTTCTAGAACTCCTGGATGTAGTTTATTTAAAATCAGTTCAGACTTGGGAGAAGGGGTGAAGCAGTTGCCTAGGGTAAAATTAAAGGACCTAGTTTTACCTGATAAGGAACTGATCATTCCGGACCCCTCTCTGTTCCGTGTAAAAGCAGATTCTTAGGAACGCTTTTATGACAGTGGGTACCTTTTTTAGTTAGATCTGTGGTGAGGAAGTGAGTGACCTGCTAGAGCTTTTTTTGGAAAGGCTTAGTAGTGGAGCTTCTGAACCCATATCTGGGGGAACTTAAGATAGGGAACCGACTCTAAAGAAAACTTCTTTTACCTCAGGATTTGAGATACCCAGTGGGTTAACTTGAAATCCAAGGCTCTGAGAGAAAGGGAGCAGTAGTGGATAGGAGTGGAAGCTAGGGTCAAAACAGATCTGAGGTAACAGGAAAATAAGAAGTTAAAAAGAAAATTATTCTGGTATCTGGAGGCAGACAAAGAAACTCAGTAACAAAGGTTTTGAGCTGGAGAGCAGCTGGAGAGAGCTGCTGAGTAAAGTGCAACAGAATTATTGGGAAAAACAGCTGAAAGAGAGGTCCTTTTAAAAATAGTTTAGTGGGGTCTCGACTTATGAACGACCCTACTTGTGAACAATTCAACTTATGAACCTGCCCTATAGGGGAAATAAGGACTCGACATACGAACTTCCCTCGATGTATGGACAGGAAAAAAGTGCCCCCTCCCTCCCCTTAGAGGCTTCTGGAGGGAGAAAAAGGGTCAGAAACTTTAAAATAAATAAAAGAAAGTCACTTACCA